AACTGTCACATTAGTGTACCATTGAAATGACAGAATTATTTTGATTTGAGCTGTCACTAGTTGAGAATGCAGACCTCGCTGGCAGCCGATTAACTAACTGCTGGCATTTCTATCCATGACATGACAGTACCTCTGCCTTATAGCATATATAGCCGCCTATATGGCCCCAAAGCCGCTTAGGTCGTGTAAACCCATCAAGAGGTTGAGTGCTTGGCCAGTGATTTCTGCCTTTGCATTGCCGCCTTTGTCAGCACGAACATTGCAGTTGGCATGAGTGTGGTTAGCCCCTCGAAACCCTTCAGAAGGGTCAAAAGGGGTGATGGGGATGGCCAATGGAGGGCAGCGAGCGGCCAAGGCAATTGGCAAGCGGCGAGAACAGTTTATTTATGCGTTGCCTTGCTGTGAGCTAAATCAATTAGCCAAATGCAAGTCAGTGCCAAAAATTGCGGCTTGGCAGCGGGTTCGCGGCACGAAATGAAATTGTTTTGCTATTTATGGCCCCGGCCCCCAAAAAAGTATGCTATACTGTTTGCAATTTGCATTTGGCACCCTCATCTCCACCATACTTTAACTCATTAAATTCTAATTAAGTTTTGGCCATGGCAAATTGGTTAGTCAAATGGGCAAAAGAAAATAAAAAATATTATTTCCCAATTTGTCGCCATAAATTGCAATTTAAGGACGCAAATCAAATTTGCCCAGCCAGACGAAAATTGCCACTAACCCGACCTCTCTCTTGCTGCTTCATCGTCAACATTTTTATTACTTCTATTTTTTTCTTCCCAGCCGGCGTTCCTGGTGTCGTGCTGAAGCGTGTGGTCGTGGCCCTGTACGACTATAAATCCCGCGATGAATCCGATCTGAGCTTCATGAAGGGCGACCGCATGGAGGTCATCGACGACACCGAGTCCGATTGGTGGCGCGTTGTGAATCTGACCACCCGCCAGGAGGGCCTCATCCCGCTCAACTTTGTGGCCGAGGAGCGCAGCGTCAATAGCGAAGAGTAAGTGCCTGTTACCTTTAGAATTTTAATGATTTTGGAAACTCTACCCTTCTTTTAATCGATTTATCATCAGTCATTTGAATAACTTATTAAAACAACCTCTTCCATCCACAGCTGGTTCTTTGAGAACGTGCTACGAAAGGAGGCGGACAAGTTGCTGCTGGCCGAGGAGAATCCGCGTGGCACTTTCCTCGTGCGACCTTCCGAGCACAATCCCAATGGCTACTCGCTGTCTGTCAAGGATTGGGAGGATGGACGTGGATACCATGTGAAGCACTACCGCATCAAGCCGCTGGATAATGGTGGCTACTACATAGCCACCAATCAGACGTTCCCCTCGCTTCAGGCCTTGGTCATGGCATACAGCAGTGAGTATAAAGATTTGGAATAACAATGAGACTGTAAGGCCTATTGATTAATTTCCTTATCTCTGAAGAAAACGCTCTTGGCCTGTGTCACATTCTGTCGCGTCCCTGCCCCAAACCGCAACCCCAGATGTGGGACTTGGGACCGGAGCTGCGCGATAAGTACGAGATTCCGCGCTCGGAGATTCAGCTGCTGCGCAAACTGGGACGCGGCAACTTTGGCGAGGTCTTCTACGGCAAATGGCGCAATAGCATCGATGTGGCGGTCAAGACGCTTCGCGAGGGCACCATGTCCACCGCTGCTTTCCTCCAGGAGGCGGCCATTATGAAGAAGTTCCGCCACAACCGCCTGGTGGCCCTTTATGCAGTTTGCTCGCAGGTGAGTTGCATGAATTGAGATTAAACCACGGTGGTTAACCTTTCGTTGATATTTTTCAGGAGGAGCCCATCTATATCGTACAGGAGTACATGTCCAAGGGCAGTCTGCTGGACTTTTTGCGCGAGGGCGATGGTCGCTACTTGCACTTTGAGGATCTCATCTACATAGCCACCCAGGTGGCCAGCGGCATGGAATATCTGGAGTCCAAGCAGCTTATCCATCGCGATCTCGCGGCCCGCAATGTGCTGATCGGGGAGAATAATGTGGCAAAGATTTGTGATTTTGGATTGGCGCGCGTTATCGCGGATGACGAATACTGCCCCAAGCAGGGATCACGGTTTCCGGTCAAGTGGACGGCGCCCGAGGCGATCATCTACGGCAAGTTCTCGATCAAGTCGGACGTGTGGTCCTATGGCATTCTGCTGATGGAGCTGTTCACGTACGGACAAGTGCCCTATCCGGGCATGCATAGTCGCGAGGTGATTGAGAACATCGAGCGCGGTTTCCGCATGCCGAAGCCGACCAATCACTACTTCCCGGACAATATCTATCAGCTGCTGCTCCAGTGCTGGGATGCTGTGCCCGAGAAGCGGCCGACGTTCGAGTTCTTGAACCACTACTTCGAGTCCTTCTCGGTCACGTCGGAGGTGCCGTATCGAGAGGTGCAAGACTAAACAGAGTCCAGCCTAATCACACACATCACCTACACCCTCTCACACGCATACACACACGTACGATATATATATAAATATAGTATATAAAGTTATACATATATTATACATTTATATGCATATTTACTATAATTCTTAAGACTTTTTAATGGCATAGTTGCATACCAACCAACCAACCAACCAACACACATGAACTCTATATGTATGGTATATGTATGTGTTTAAGCGTATCCAAACAATTCAGAAACCAACTACAAACGAAAAAAACAAGAAACACAAAAAATCAACAAAACAAACAAAAAAAACTTAAATCGGAAAAACAAAATTTTATATTTTACACGCAAAACTATTTTATAATTTATATACCTAACTGTATGTACTATGGAAATAGAAAGTATTTAACTAGTTTTTTAAGCTTACCCAGAAACAGAAAGGGGCCGAACAATGATACCAAGAAGAATCAAGAACAGAACACGAAAGAAATTGATGGCAACTCTATTGAATTTCTAATCGAATACAGCTACAATTTAACGCTACTTTAATCGGTGCTTAGGTTTTTTGTATAAACAATCCAGTCCAATCCAATCCAATCTACAACTAGAACTTTTTGATCTTAACCTCCCTCTGCTGAATAGTTTCTTCTGATACTTTCCACACACATACACGACTATCGACTAAGCCAAGTATTATTTGACTCAATCAATCCGTATCAAGAAATCGAACATTTACGTATTTCAAATTGTTGCTAATGAGAAACTCCAATGATGGCATTTACTTATAAGGTGGCGTCCACCCCTCGTCTCTACTTCCAAGTCAGAAATCTAGATGATCTATCACCCGAAACATAATATGTTGCTTCTTCCTCGAGTAGTTGAGGCTAGGAAAAAGAAAAGCGAAAATTGCATTTTGTACAAATCATTGAAGAGCAAAAAACAAAAAAAAAACGCATTTCACGTATTTCGTTGTTAGCAATTGAACCAATGAATGTTTATAGTACATTTAAGTTTATGCCAAAATTATTGTTTATTCTTTGTTCGTATAATTAAGCACAAGCAACACAATTGGGCACTGTCCATGTAGTCTAGATATATCTATTGATGTACAACCTGCAGCGTTGGCCCGCATTTAGTTCCTCTCCAGACCTGCTGTTCCTTGCGTGTGCAGCCCAAATCAATAGCCCGACTCAAGCCATACGGATAAACTGCTATCTCAAGGGTTTCAAATGCAAAATATCAGACGATAATGACTCTAACCTAACCGATCAATGTATCAACCAATCAACCACACAAGACACACAGTACACACACACACCTATCTTAGCTTCTAGATGACCGTCACGAACAGATCCATATTTAAAACACATGAATCGAACATCGATTGAGGAGACTTTATTTAATTTATTTGATTTTTGTTATAGTTTTAGTTTGTCGTTCATCGATATAGTACATATAGCATATATTGTGTTGGCCATTGTGTGCACATTCTGTAGCATAAAACCAAAGTTTAGCATTTCGTATTGAGATATATGTATTTGTAAAGAAGATTTATACGGCAACTCAAAGCATTTCACACGTAAACACATACACAGATATCAGTTTATAGGATAACCAGGCTTAAAGACAAATGAGAAAAACAACCAATCATTGTATGAAATTGCATTCAACGTAATCACAACGGAATCACTGCAAATAATTAATTAAAATATTGTTATAACTCACAGGCAAAACTGAAATTGTTTAGCGTAGTTGATGAATTTTTGTATATAAACTTGACATAACGTGTAGAAATAAACGAGAAATTAAATTGAATGATAATACCGAAATAATATTGAATGATTTTGCGGCAGCTGAAAAACAACAGCCATTGGCGGCGCAAGCGGCATGCGAGGCATTAACCACAAGAATTAAAATTTCACAAATTTTTTATACAAACTGCGGCAATCAAATTGAAAGATTTAAAAAATTTTTCAGCCTTTTGCCTGGGCAGGCGTGTTGCATGCGCTGACAGCGGTTGTTGGCTAATAACACTCGAACAGCGATGTCTGATGAATAATTATAGATATAACAACCGAGAATTGTCATGTATTGCAGATAATGGTTTAATACGCAGATTCACGAAGCAAATATGAATGGAAACTGAATTTAGCTGATGTAAAATGATAGAAATGTGTCCGTTAAGTCGGTTAGGTGTGTAATGCATAATACAAATAATAATGATAATAACTAATAAAATTGAAAAATATGTAATAACTAAGGTGTGGTTGTTTTATTGGGGGGTTATGAAAATGATGTAAAACTTGGAATAAATAATAATAGTTAAATAAACTTACCAGATTGAAAAATATCCAAATTTGTAAACTATCTATAGTTTGAATAATACTGAATAAAAGTCCAGCTTTGCTTTTTGTTTTTGCTCTTTTGGATACCAAAAAAGTTGAAGAAATTTTATTGTTCCTTTACACATATATCTAACCGTATATGAATAATGAAATCGTTTTCGTTTAAAAATTTTTCAAAGGCAAAATTGTACATAATATGTAATTCGTAATGTTTTATATGTATATATAATTAATTCAATAACTCTTTTTTGTAATCCATGAAGTGCGCTAAAAAGTAAACGTTTCTGTGTTGCAAATGCACTTTTATTTAGTTATTTTTTTTTGCTCGACATTTACTACATTAGTTTTAGCCAATTTTCCATTTTAGTAGCCACTTGCTACTTCGAGAGAGAGCTGACGTTCTTGCTTCCTGTGTTTGTGTTGTTGTGTGTGTTTGGTGTACATATATCTGATATAATATCCAATTTTAATTGGTAGTTCAATGGGGTAAAACCAGTTCTGCACGGCTTAATTGCTCTATTAGTTTATTGTATGTACAATAAATTCGTATTACTCTTATTTATTGTTTGGCATTCGTATTTTGGACCTACGAACGTTGCTGACTAGGGATTTGTTCTGTACAAGTGGGTTTAGCCATCATTCTAAACCCACCATTATGGAACAAATCATCTAGGTTCCTGGATTAACTCCAGTTGAAACAGAATAACAGTTTTTGAAATTGTAGGAATGTGGGATGTACCATATGGGTACAACTGTTCATATTTAGAGTTATTAAAGTCCTATAAAGTTTTAATTGGTTTGTGGACAACGTTTACTCTAGTTTATACGGGTATTCTGATCACGACTTATACGTAAATTGGCATAGCTAAGTATACAGCAATATATCGAGTCATCTGAAATCTCCATATTTAACAGGGCAAACATCTTACTGATAAACATTTACAAAATGCCTTCGGCAACGGTTCTATGAGATATTTGTGTTCAATGCAGGCCCGCTTTCTTAATTTAGTCAACGCTTCATCTCCATAAATAAAGTACTTTTATAATAAACAAGGCGTTGCGATTTTAAAGTATAAGATAATATCTTTAGTTAACTTGTATTCAAGGAAACGGACCTTCGTTGAATAATGATTTAAAAAAAAGAATCTGTGGTTCACTCAGTTATTGGTGTGAAAATACAAAACCAAACCAACTATTTTTGACTATTTCAAATTTCTTAATTCGAGACTTTCAAAACTAGTTGGTTTTAGAATTTTCACCTCAGCGACCATAGATTGGTGTCAAGTGGTGTCATTTTAATATTATATTTGAGGCATGTCTTTTATTATTTATGTAAACGTGGTGTCAATTCAATACTATATTTTAGGCATGATTTTTATTTTTTATATAAATATGGTGTCAATTCAATATTATATTTGAGGCATGCTTTTTATTTTATATATAAATGTGTGGCAATCTTGAGTTGCACTGCTAGGTCCTACATTAAATATAAAGAATTGCATCCTCTGGTCGTAAAGCTACCAATATTAAACACTATTCTTCGCCTCGTATGAAACTATTCTAGGTTTGTATTTTCGTAACTATTTGACCTCAGATCCCTCCTAATTTTGTCTGGAAGGATCTGCTGCCGGCTAACGCATTCGAATCGCACTTATCGGTGTTATGAACTAAGTTTTTGATTCTCCTGAATCGTTGTTTCCGATGGTTTTTGTTTTTTTTTATTGAGAATGCTCTGCACAAATATATATTAGATTCCTAATCGAAGACTGCTTTTTTATTAACCCCAGAAAAGCACATTTATCTAGGTTTCTTGATAAGAAATACCTATCCAAATTACATTCCCTAAAGCCAAATAACCCAAAAATGAGCATCTCGGGGTAGGGGGGATAGGGATTGAGATACACATTTTAAGTTGGACGTCTGAGCTACCTAGTTCTAGAAATTGTTATTGCATATTGGCGACTGGAAAACGACATCACGACATCAAAACGTTAACACGTTTCTCCTATCGATATGTGGATAAGAATTTGTAACAAGGAGGTGTAGATGTTCTGATATCTCTGAAGTGTGTTTAGTTGCAATCTTCAAGGTTATCCATAGCTTTTTCAGCTTTATGCAGGGCATTTTGGGGTCGACAAGGCCGAACCTTTTAATGATCTTAAGCTGATTTACATGGCTGATGAGATCTGCTGCCCCTGTTGATAGAGTTGATCCTGTTGCTGCGGTTGTTGTTGCTGCTGCTGCGGTTGTTGCTGCTGCTGCTGTGGTTGTTGCTGCTGCTGCTGCTGCTGCTGATATTGCTGCTGCGGTTGCTGTTGCTGTTGGTACTGCTGCTGCTGTTGTTGCGGCTGCATTTGCTGCTGCTGCGGTGCCAATTGCAACGGCGGCGGTGTATTGCCAATTGCTGCCGCAGCTTTTCGGGCATTTTGCTGCGTTGTGGCCTCGTTGGTCTTGAGGAAATACGTTATTAAATCGATGGGCAGCGGGAACACAATGGTCGAGTTCTTCTCCGCGGATATGGTGTTAAGTGTCTGCATTAAATTCAAAGTATAAATCGATAGTTAGTCTCCTGTAAATCCCTGATAACCCACCTGAAGGTATCGCAGTTGGAGTGCTGCCGGCGAATCGCCAATCACCTCCGATGCCTCGCGAAGTGCCCGCGACGCCTTCTGTTCTCCTTCGGCGGCGATGACTTTGGCGCGGGCTTCTCGGGCGGCTTCTGCCTCGGCGGCCATGGCACGTTGCAGTTGCACGGGCAGGCGCACGTCCTTGCTGCTCGGTCGATGGAGAAAATGAGATTAGCCGGCGTGACTTGCAGATGGCGGAAATACTCCTAACTCAAAGCTAAGACCATTTTGGACCACAAAGTTTCTGCACTCAGAAAAATCTCATAAGTTTCTGGTGCAAATGTACGTTTTTCAAATGTATTTCTTCAAAGATATTCATTATACTTCCATATCTTACATTTCCCAGAAACCAAAAACATAATACTATAAAAAATAGGAAAAATATTTGAAAACGCCTTTAATTACCCCTAGAACCTTATGTCGGTTCAAATTTTTGTATTAGAGAAACTTGGCCTAAAACAAAGGAACATTAAATTGATATATTTCTAAATGCGATACTAACTACCATAAGGCCTAGTATTCAACATACCATCCAAACACTTTTTTATAAATAAAGTTTTTGATTTTGGACGACTTTTTGTTAGGTAGAGTACAAAGCCTAAAAATTAATAAAGGTAATAAAATGTTGAAATTTCTTTAGAATTTACCAGCATAATTTTCTTGCTGCATAATCCCGACATAGCTTCAATTTACAACCCAGCTTTATAGGATTTTATACTCAAGTGCATATCTTCAGTATTTTCTGTATTAAATTGAAAGCTATCAACGGAAATGTGCCGAGCTGTATGCTAATGTGCCCCCCAGCGTAATGGGGCATCTTTAATTCAAACGCAGTCTTGAAAAACATTTTTTACGGCCAACGAGCCGTGAAGTTTAATTTATCAAACAATATTTATAACGCCCTGTTTGTCTTAAATTTAAATCGAGTTATATAACTCATAAACACCACAATTTCTCGCATCATTTTATTGGCCATTTGAGGAAGTTATAAACCAGCTGATCAATTTTAAAACACAAAAAAGAAGAAGCGGGATACAATAATGAAAAATTCAACAACTGCCATAAAATGAAACCGTTTTCATGGCAAAACGGCCAAGTTTTTTCCTTGGGGAGAGCAGAAGTGGTTGTTTTTTTTTTTTGGGGGAAAAAGGTAGGAGCCGCAGCATAACCACAACAACAATAATACTACCAACAACATTGCGTCAAGTTGTTGCAGCTGTTTTAACATGGCCAACACACCAGCAGCAATGGCAGTAGCAGCAGGCTCCTCCAGGCCGTCATATTGTTGGCCATGTATGAGCATTTGACATGCCAACGTCACACACTTGGCACTGCGAAAAACTGAAGCTGACAAAGTAGCCAGCCACTTGCCCCCCGTGAGCGGCAAATAATAAATTATAACAACAGGGCCTCGGTGACAGCAGACAAAGGGCAGCCCGGCTACAGCTCCCACACTCATCCAGCGTTATTGTGATAAATGCCCGGAAAAATGGTAAGGCAAATAAAACAAATAACCAACAAACTCGAGTGCTGTGGCCTTGCCGGGGCTATGGGAATGTTTGTGGGGCTCAAACTAGCCAATTTAAATGTTATATAAGCTGGGAATTACTGAAGGCTCTAGGGGCTTTAGTCATCAGAAATAGGGGGAGGATCCCAGGATTTCATAAAGTTATAGACGAGGTTCTCGAGGGGCTTACTGGATTTGTCAAATGAAAACCTAATTATGTGAGTACACATATTATTTCCCAAAGAAATATCATTATACCACATATTCCTAACGGCTAAAATAAAACCGTTTTTACAAACAAAATATCTATTGGGATAGCAATCAAAGGTATTTTGCAGGTTAAGTGCTTAAATTTAATTACCATTTTCTGTTCAAAATCTCATTAAATAAATTTAATTGGATAAATATCAAACAAATTAGATCAGCTATCGGAAAATCGATGCAATAATAATTATATTCCCCTGTGAATGCAATTGTGTCACTGGAGCGGGCCTATTAAATGTAATTTGAGCTAGTATATTCTAGAAATCGGATTTAACTGAGACAAAACGCTGACTTCCTATATACAAACTTGCCTGAACATAGTTATAAAATTCGAAAGCACTTAAACTAATCCATTCCCTTTAAAGAAATCACCCCCAATGAGTGGCACTAAAAAGCAAAGCTCACAATGTCCTTTAGAGCATATCAACTTCGACTTGGAGGCGAGGTGAAACGTTTATAACATTACTTTTATAGCTTGACATAGAAACTTTTCCAGGTTGCCACTGCAAGTGCTGTGTGTGGGGGTGAAAAAGCTGTGCTACTTACATTTCAACACGTTCAACTTTGATGCCCCAGGCATCGGTGGCTTCGTCGAGTTGAACCTGTTTATGATTGGACGCCAGGTGGTTGAGGTGGTTGGTGGTTGGTATAGTCGGTTTAGTTTGGATGGTTGAGTTGGTTTGGTCGGTTGGAGGTGGATGAGCCGTGTGAGAAATAGCAGTAAAAATACATTAGTTTTTGTTTACACGCGTTTTTCAGGTCGTTAACAGTTTTGTTTCGGTTTTGCTTTTATTTCCCACCCCCTCCCCATGGCTGGTGCATTTTCCCTCACATTGTTTGTGGGTCGTGCAGCATCCTTGAAATGGGAAAACTAAAAATGCAGCACTTGGCATCGTCGAGGGGAGTGAATGGAGGAGCCACAGAGCCATGGCAACTTGGCATTTTGCACATGTTCGCACATCGACGTGCAAGCAGCCAACGGCTGCCGCTGATGCTGATGCTCGAGATTTTCGCCTGATTTTGAACTATTTTTCATATGGCATGGAAAATAAATAAATAAAACGACCCGTTGCCAGGCTTGTACCATAGAATTTGGGTTAAGTTGGTAGCTGCTAAGATATGCGGCTCGTAACTTCATCGCCTCCTCCGTCCCCGTCGACTTTTCAATTTGCTAGCTATGAAAAAACGCTTTGGCTCCGAGATTATTTTCATGCCAGGCACGGAGGCCAGACAGACATTTCGCCTTTGGCAGATGTTAAATTTCGCAATTAATATTTCGCCGACGGAGTTTTACCGCAAAACTTTAAGGCTTATGCTGCATAATTAGGAGCAGAGACTTAAATGTCATCTGTCAGCAGACGGAACTGGCAAGTAGCTTAGCTGCCTAGCTGCATTTATTCTGCGTGGATTTTCCCGTTTCCTCAGTACACGCAAAGAAAGTTTTAGTATTTTAAATTGAGATAAACATGCTTTTAATTACCTCTTACCAAACATTGTTAGCGAAAAGCCACACGGTAAAAGAAATGGATCATTGTGTTTTGATATCGTATTTAAATAATTGGCGCCCAACGTGGGACGGTGCTTCTAAGCATCTTTGTTGGGTAAGGCAAGGAACTAATGGTATTTGTAAATAAGTTTACATTCTTTGTAGCTATGAAATATACAATATACAATATACAACTTTTTCTAATTACAAGCAGTTAGTAGTTATTATGTAAATTGAAGTTGTTTCTTCCTGAGTAGTTTTGTTTTCTCTGTACATTTCTTTGTGCTGGTATACTAAGTAAATTAGGGGAAGCAGCCCGACGGAGTCGCTAGAGTCTTTAGAGAGGGAGAGAGAGCTTGTCGGCGGTCCGGGCCAACTGGCGACTGTCAACCGTTTTGAACTCACCTGCATTGTGCCGGAAATCGTCATACGCTCGCTGAGTATCTCATGCAAATGCCGAGTTCCCATTGTGTTTCGTAGAGTAGTCTGTGCCAGTAGCCTGGTCGAATGGTGAGCATTTTCCACGTTCGCGATAGAGACGGTTGCATTTGATACCCGATAGTAAACCACTGCATCCACCGAAACCGTAACGCTATCCTTTGTGAGAACCTACAAGATGCAGTGGGTATTTTTGGTTTGGGGACATTTGCTTTTTGCTTTCTCTATTGTTCCTGCTATTGTTGTAGTTGGTCTGTTAGTTATTTTTATTATTCGCTTGTTATTGTTGCCAACAAACACATTCACAGACTCTAAGAAATATATATGTGCGTATATACAGAAAGACGCGCTTTGAAAATCGCGATTCGTATACGAGTATATATACACATGTGGGTGGTATACACTATGGTGATAAGCTAAGCATTTTGAATCTGTATCTGTATCAGTGGCCGGCCAGTTGTGCTGTGCACTTTATAGCCCAGGGAAAGAGAAAGATAGAAAGAGTGGTATAATGCGAATGCACTTGACTTGAACGTCGCTGGCTTCTTTTGGCCTGGTGGGTCGCTTTCTCTAATAGAACTAAGTGCAGGGAGTGCAGAACTTTTGCCACAGACCACGGACAGACAATGCCAAAAGACACACAAATGCTCACGTTCTCGTACAAAGGCAGTGCTTTCATTTTGATTATTGCATCTGTGTCTGTGCATTTGGATTTGCATTTTTGCATTTGCTTTTTTTGCAGTTGAATGTGTATCTCTGTGTATCTCTGTGCATCCCAAAGTCCCAAAGTCTTTTCACATTGTTTTGCATTCAGCGAACTTTAGTCGGTGGCATTCGGTGGGTTATCCCAGCAATTTGCCGACACGAGTTTTATGTGCTCGAATGGGATTCGATCATCTGCGCAATAACGATACGTGGCTAACGGGGAGCAAACTCAAAACCCAAGAGCTTGGAGGTTACAGTGTATAAGTTATGGTACAGAGAGTGGGGAAGTTGAACAAATTATACAAGTACAAGTCGAAAAAGAAAAGAAACTGAAAGGCTAATCAAACTCAAGAACGAAAAGGCATTAAATTTGTTATAGAAAAGGTCTTACATTCTATTCAAGGAGGAGAGATAGTGTGACAAGGGTTTTTGTTCGGGGGGAACAGAGAGATGTGACGGGGTCGTGGGCGGTTTATGTACACCGTGCTTGGATTATTCTATCTCGACCGCAAGTTTACTGGTGTCAGCCTCGGTTCATGATGCCCAAATCGAATTCTTGAAATTTTTCGTTTATTTTTCTATTCCTTTCGGCCAAAGGCTTGGCTCACATAAGTTGGCTTAACTTATGCCCAACTATCTCCCCCCACAAAATGCACACACAAGTACATATAGCAGTGGTAAAAAGTTGCTCCCTCAACGACGGAACGCTTTACGTTTTATGACCTGCCCAAACATTGTTCGGCGTAGTCTAGACCGCTTTTTACGGCCTCTCTGCAAAAGCTGAAGCTGTGGTGTCAATGTTGTTTAGTGTCATCGTTTCCACTCGGCCAGTTTCGAGGGTTTTCCTTTTCCAGGCCCTGCCTTTTGTGGGCGAACTTTTGGGCAAGGCAAATCTCTAGTATTTTGCATGTGAATCAACTGAAATGTGAGCAGCAGAAACTGGAGAAGTTATAAGACGGGGGCGGAAATATTCCTGCAAATCCAGTTTTGAATTTAGCAAGATTTATTTTTGTTTGTTCCGGGCGAATAAATGGCTTCCATTTTGAAAAGTTTAAAGCCTGGGTGGAGTAGTTTTGAATTAAAATCAAAACAAGTTTTTTATGATTCCTAAATACGAATTTAAACATATTTTATATAGAGGTAATAGAGAAGTTTTAAGACTGTGTTCACGAGGCGTATACTTTATATTGCAGACATGAGCCATGTTTAATTTTCTCTTTCTGCAAGGCTGCTTTTATTTTATATTAAGAATATAAATATCTTGAGCTAGCCAAGCTGCTATTAAATTTGCTTTTAAGCTGGTACAACAGTGCGTATGCTTAATTAAAAACACTATCCCCTAATCTTCGATTTTCATTTTACAAATGTGCTAGCAAACATTTTAGTGATTCACATACTTCAGTCGACTTTCATTACTACCAAATGCTGGCTTAAACAAATAATCCCCAAATTCAATTGGGCATTGTGTGCATTCTGCTCTATAGAAATATATCATGGGCCTTCTTCGCTCTGCATACCTTTCGCATAATCATGCACGATTCACTTCATTATGAATGCCGTTCGAGCAACCAAAGCCTGCTGCCTGTCCATGGACAAAGCTCTAAATCAATTTGGCTCGAACAATGGCTTATTATTTCGAACAATGGTCGGGTGGCATAGTTAAAGGGGTGGCGATTGGGCGGTGGGTGGTGGGTTAGTGGGTTTGTGGGCTGTGACTGTGTTTTCAGGTGGAGTGATGCAGAGTGGTTGGGATATAAGTCGCTTGTTCATTGCATTTTATAGAACAGAATTGAATGAGCAAACGTTCAGGAGGAATCAATGATGAAACCATGGAAACAAGAGCAGAGTTATACAGATAGAGAAGGGGGTATCGGAATCGGAAGTGAATGAAATGAAAATGCCAAACAATAGTTTATACACTGTAACGCCTAAACTAATGAGTTTTCAATAAACGTAATTAGGTTATTTATTACAATTTGCACAGTTTATGCTGGGAATTTTTGTCAGCAATTGAATCGATTTTGTTTGGTTTTATATTTTGAATTTGCAATGGGACTCAACTGAAAATGTTCTTTTTCATACTAACTAGTTATAGAGAGAGAGACAGAGAGAGCGACAGTTGGAAAGAGTCAGAGAGAGACTTGTACAGAAGTTCATTTCACTGGTATTTTTTTAGTATTTTGTTAGTATTTTCTTCTAGAGCTCCAAACTTTTTACTAAGTATCTTATAGTAAACTATAGCCTAGTCTATGGGGCAACTACTGATGCTGATGCTGTGATGCTGGGACTTGCTCTAGCTCTAAATCTTTCGCTTGCTTTTCATATACTATATAGCTACTATATGCTATCACAATTACATTTACGATTCTAACGCGTTTTGGAGGGCGGGCGAAGCCTTTTGGCTTTTTTTTTTCTAATGCTCTGGCCTTTGGCTTTTGGCCTGCATGCGTGCAGGAGTTGAGTTACCACTTTTTAACAGCTTAAACCACGCAAAACACACATAGATGAACTCGACATTATATGTATATATGTATATTCGCTGTGCGGATATATATATAGCATATATACAATGTGTTCTTGCATTTTTATTGGGAGGGGTGCGTCCTTTCGCTTGTGCTCAAACAAATCAAATGGTAACGATTTAATTAGTTAGTTGTACAATACATAATTGTTGTTGTTCTTTTTGGACGGGGTACGGGTTTATCTTTTTTTCTTTGGGATGGTGACTTTGTTAAAACTAAAAGCTGTTCGTGTGTATGGGTGAGCGTGTTAACTATATGGTATGATGATGTCTGTGTGTGCTTTGTGTGTGTGTATTATATTTTGTGTGGTTTACTTATAGTTCGATTTTTATTTTTTCAGTTTGTACCAACATTATAAACAATCTGTAGCTGGAGTTTGGTATTGTTTGTTTGTTTTAAGACAGTTAGAAAGCTTTTTAGAATAGACATTTATGAAAATATATATTTAGCATGCTCTCAAAAATTATTTGAACGCTTAACCGAACTGGGGAGAGTGGGGATTTTATCAAGTAAGTGCATTTCGATAGTAATTTTCTTTTTTGTGTGATTGTTTTGAGGGTTTTGCTTTGGTATTTGGTTGGTATTTTTTTGTTTCCGGTTCTTATATATGGTTTTGCTAAACAAAACTTACATAGCTCATAAAACAAAATCAATATATATTAAGATATATAGAGACAGAGAGAGAGAGAGAGGTAGTTATATAGTTATATATAGAGCGTGGGTAAGATAGACAGTCAGATAGAGACAGAGACATATAGATAGTTTAGACAGAGAGAAATAGAGAGACAGTGAAAGATCGGTTTGGTTTGTGGCTGCTTAGCAGGAGAGTGAGCAAGACAGATGTAGTACACAGAGAGAGAGGTATAGATAGACAGATTATAATATTTTGTTGGGTGGGAGGGTGTGCAATTAACAGTGTTTCTGTTAGGTTTTAATGGGGTTCCACTTGCATTTTAAGCTACGCAAGACCTAAAGTTTTTTTTTTGTTTTTTTTTACTGTGTTCTGGTGTCGCTGTCTTTGTGTGGGTGGGTGGTCTTGGGATTTGAGTTTGTGTGAGAGTGCTGCACCCTGTGTTCAGTGAACAAACATTTGACATTCATTTCTTCATCAACTTTTCTTTTTGGACAGACAGAGATAGAGACAGACAGTGAGTGGCAAACAGAGAGATAGAGGCAGAGATAGAGGTGGAGAGAGAGATAGAGATAGAGGGGTTATGTGTGCGTGTGAGAGAGATAGCCAATGCGTAATGCGTACAGTTCTTTTGTGGTTTTGCCCCGCCCCCGCCCACCAATTCGTTTTGCATATGCATATGTGGTGCTCGGCTGAACACAGAGAGCGAGACAGATAGATAGAGAGAGATAGAATTTTCAGTTGATATGCATTCTGGCACTATTGCTTTGATATTTTTTGTTTTTTTTTTGGTTTTTGTAAATTTTTGTTGGGTTTTTTTTTTCATTCCTAATTGCAGGAGACAATCAGAGCTTTAACTATGCAAATTGTAATAACTTGAAGTTGAATGTTCAAAAGACATCAAAAACTAAATACGTTTACGATAACGATTACGATACGATTCAAAATAAAAAAAATAAAACTGAAAAACGAAAGTGAAACGAAATGATGCGCAAAAATCGCATTTCGTATGCACTTAAAGGGGAGATTTTCGGGTGAATGTGTATGTAAATCTGGGCTTGTATGTGTCTTCTGGTGTTTGTGAATAATAACAACGTCAACGAGATGGCTTTTGGGGATTTTTTTCAGTTTTTTTCTCATATTTTTTTTTTATCCTTGCTGCAGTGGCCTTCATGCGATTTACACAAAAAACCGAATAAACTCAAATGGAACACGAGAATGCTGGCGGATATGCAAAAAACGAAGGAAAAAATAATACAAAATCGGGGGTTATTTTTGGCTTTGGTGTTTGAGTTTCTGTATATGAGTGTGAGTTTGCTCCACGTGACGTCAGCAAGATGTTGAAAAAGCCAGCGGATTGAAATCGAACCAGTTACCATTATTTCTATCTTAAATTTCACTTTAGCCTCGAATTTTTCACTTCTCCATATTTCATTTAAGTCTGCCAAGCGAACAATGAAATATGCACAGGTAAAAATGAGAAAAGGATCAAGTAAGCGAACTAAAGGATGAAAAATTCCCAAAAATAAATGGAGCGCGTATCTCGATGAGACTCCAGTGTATCAGTGTGTGTGTGTGTGAGGGCAAGGTGGGTTTTCCTCTGTGTATGTGTGAGTTGTGGCTGTGTGGTTGAGTGCACACCAATGGCAATAATAATAAAAATTCTGCAACATTGTTCAACTTCAATACGACAACAAGTACCATACAAAGTATTTAAAATATATATTTATATATATGTATATATAGAATACAACAAGTCTACCAACAACAACAACAACAACGAGACAGAGTAGAGAGAGCAATGTGTTGGTGTGAACGTGTGTGTGAGTGTGCGGTTGCGTTGTGGGTGTTAGAACCACTTATCCATTTTTTTTCATATAAAAACAAAATGGTCTGCAGCCACTCGAAATGGTAGGAAAAAGATTTAAATAAACTATAAATGTGGCCAGCAAAAATGGTTTTCTTTCACTTTGCTGTTGATGATGCTGTTTTTTTTTAGTATTTTAGTGGTTAGAAAGAGGGTTACTTAGCTGGTTGGGAAGTGGAGATAGATACGTTAATAGATACAGATAGACATATAGATATATAGTTATAGTTATAGAGTGAAAATAGAGAGAGAGGTACAACTGGAAGAGGGGCTGCAGTGGGAAGAAATCGGAACCGAAAAGAAATGGAACAAGAAAGTAGAAACCAAAAGTAAACACCGTGACATGCGACGACAGCAAGAACGAGGGGGAAAAAAGTCAAAGAAACGAAGAAACAGAAAGACAACGTTGCGTATGCGTAATTCACGCTCCAGTTGCGCGTCCTGTATCCTTGTGTCTACATCTGTGTGTGTATTTTCTGTGTGTGTGTGTATCTGGGTGTTTGTGTGGCTTTCAGTGTCCATGTGTGCGGGTGTCCTGTCAGCAGAATCCACACAACAACTCAGATTCCGGCTGCTGTGCAGCCAAGCTTCTCTTGCGGATTCCGCCAACAGGGCCAAAATCTGTATCTTTGTATCTGGGCGTTTGTATGTTTGTATGTATGTATCTTTTACTTTTGGTCAGAACACAAAACGAGAAAATGCAACCAAAATGTATATATGTATATGTATAACTCTTGTTAACAAACGTGTCGGCTGGAATAACTTGTGGCAAAAGCTAAAAGTTTAATTGGTTTCTGCTTTACTTGGCATCGCTTTTAGGTTGTCATGTGTGTGTGTGTTTGTTGGTTGGGTGTGGGTTGGAAGGGGGGACTTTTTGAAGTACATAAACTAAAAAGATTTCCACTTCTGGTTAATAACAACAACAACAACAACATCGAAGAAGGCAGCTTATGTGAAGCTGCCACTGCAGGTTTGTAACTGCTTTGTGTTTTTTTTTAAATATTTTTTTCTGTGTTACCATCCGGAAAATGTTACCGGAACTTACCTCCTGCGGTGGCACGTCGTAGGTGCGGGTACGCAAGTCCACGCGGGCATAGGAGTCGATGCAGGGCAGGATGAAGAAGATACCTGTAATTATGGTCGAGATGCTTTAAACGCTCGTTACGGGATACGTAGAAACTGCACTGGCTTACAGGGATTCTAAAATCCTGGTAAAAAAAAAATGTTTCTAGCTAAGGAGGATTTTATCTTGTCTTTTAAAGAAAGCTTGAATGCTATGATTACGTTTTGTAAAGACCTCTACAGCTTTAGATCGTTTAAGCTCTTTTTCTTCAGTCGGATCACTCTTGATACTGTTTTTTCTTATCTTCTTATATCTTTAAGATTACGAACAGCTAATATTTCTTGAGACAAATAGGAAAAAAATATCACAACCTTTTTAGGAAGTATTAAACCAATATGAAAAGTGGTTTTGACTTTATAAACATGTCATAATGAGGAGAAAATAACTAAAATTTTGCAAAGTAGGTTGTAGTCACTATTTACTAATTACTTCTTACTATTTATTTAGTTACTATTCTTCTAAAATGTCCTTGCAAAATGAGTTTAACAAAAAAACACTTTCTTTTCAATGCTTTCTATCCTTGTGCTAGAAAATCTTAATGGCTGGGAAATTCTTCAAAAAAGATGCAAACTAGTGTCAAGTCTGTGCGAGAACTTCGCCTCGATTTGCCTAATCTCTTCCTACCTCGAAATGGGAGCACAAAAGCAGAGCACACGGACAGAGAAAGAGAAAGATAGAGAGGGACGCAGAAAGGGACAGCGATGGGGGCCCGGCCCCAGAGTCGCTAATTTGGAGCAAGTGCAGCAATTAACACAAATTCTTGTCGCCAGCGAGCGGCACTAAAATTTGCATAGAATCGTTACCCCATCTCACCTGCACCGGCACCTGTTACCCCGTTATGCACCTGTGAAACTGCACCACTGAGTACTCACCTGGGCCCTTGGCACCGCCCTGCATGAGGCGACCCAAACGGAAGATAACCGCGCGCTCGTACTCCTGCACCACCTGCAAAATGTGGCACGTGAGTGAGATGTTCTTGAAATGAAATTGAAACTTGTGGAAACGAAAGGGGAGCAACTTAGGAGCACCCTTACAACTAGCCCAATCCCAAGTTTCAGTAATGATATAATACATTTTTAATAATATCTATATTTATAGAGTAGCTTTAAGAAATAATATTCATCATAATCATGTGGTTTTAAATACGTAAAAAAACTGCTAATCAGCTTATAGGCTTAACTTGACATATTTAATTTCCATATGCAAAAAATATGCTAATCCATAAGAGGCTTAACATTAAACAAAAAATCCACTTAATCCTCTTAAGGTAAAAAAAGGGATAAAGAAACTAGGTCATGGGTTTGAAAGAGATTTCTGTAGGCAAATGTATATAATAATAGTTTTACTAGCCCTTAATGATTTTAATAATTTTATTTTTGAAGACATCATATCTTGGCAAGTACCCTTGGTGTCATTCCAAAGTACGTTGATAATATATTTTCTTTCTCAAACCCTTAAAATAATCTTCCTAAGGTAAAATTTAGCTGATTTAATCTTTTTTTGTGGCTTAAGTTTATAAATATTCATTTAGTAATTATATTTGTATACTTTATAACTTTTCAATTATGATAGAGTATAAAAGTAAGTTAATAAAAATGTTGTTCATAACAACTTCTTTTTTCATAATGGAGGATTTCTTTTTTAAAAAGAAGGCTTCCAATCAAATATTTATAAATCATGCAATTAGAAGACCATAAGAATATACATTTTTGAGTGCATTACGTACCTTGAAGCAGACGAAGAGACTGAAGGGTAGCGTCATTATCACAAGAGCCACGGAGAGAAATATTAGCAATTTGCCGCATGTTGATGCCTTATCGCTGATTTCCTCGTCCGCTGCGAGAGAACGTGGCGAGAAAACGAGAAATTTTCTTATAAATACATGTAACGTTGCAAGATGGAATCAAGTGCTCAAAGCAAATGCTGCAAATTAAGGCTTAAGCTATAAATTCGTTTTGTATTTTCCTCAGCTTTTCTTGGGCTCCACTCTGCTGAGAATGGAGCCCAAGACTGTTACATGATAAATGCGCTGGGGCATCAGGAAAAAATAAGAAAAAAAGATGTCTTAAACGAAAGACCTCCGCATGGCGCATACAAATATCGCAGACAGAATGTCGGAATGAAAAAATATGCTGAGCGAAAAAAAGGGCATTCTTCGTTATGGAGTACTCATATTACTTAAAGTTTAGCCAAAAATTGAAGTTGTGCGAGATTTCGTTGGTATTTTTTTTCGGGGGGGCAACAAGTCGCCCATTTTGCTTATTGATACTTGAGACGCGCCATAATTTCGATGGGGCCCTCGTCGCCTCGTAAAAGTCAAAATGTTGTTCCCTTGGGGAAACTCGGGAGATATCTGTAGCATACTTAGGTGCGCACACCGAAAAAAAAGGAAGGCGGAGACGGAAATCGAAATACAAGCAAACAAGGAGTGTGCATACATTAAAAGGAAATTTCTCAGTAAATACTTCATAGATAGTAGTCATTAGTTAGTTAGATAGTTAGATAGAGTTAGAGGTACACATAGAAAGTAGAGTATAGTTTTGTAACAGGTTAAAAAGTAGCTTTGTGTGTGTCTCGTGTGTTTTTCTGTTTGATTTTGGCTGTAGGATGTGGGGATCTTTTTCTGTTTTTTCATTTCTTTTCTTGGGCATTGTCCAAATTGGTGCGACTTACAATAGAGAAATCCATGTGAATGTTTTGCTTGTGTATCTGCAAGAATACGATAAATCGAACAACAAGAGAAATTAATCGGGGGGAAATGCTTTTCGGCTTGATCAGCAACTAGCCAATTGGTGTGTTTTTTGGGATCTGGTTTTTAGTATTTCCGTGTTTTTGAGTGCTCTGCGATCCTGGGGTGGGATCTACTTAGCTGCTCCATGCCATGCAGTTTTCAGGGTTTCTTTTTGTGGGTTAAATAGCATGCTCGAAACGAACTACGAAAAACTGAAGAGCCAACCACTACGAACTCAAGAAAAATCATAAATTATTCATGCCACACACATTTAAATGCTGTTTACGCGCTGCTGTTGCAGTTTGTTTGCCATCTGGTTTTTGGTTTTTCTGGTTTTCTGGCTACCAGCTACCAGTTACCAGTTACCAGTTTTCAGTTTTCAAGCTGCTGGCAATTAGCGGCACGGCACAGTTTGCATTTCAGTTTCAATTACAGTTCATTGAAAAGTTGCCACAATGCCAACACCCAGCAACGGCGACGTCAGCAAAGTGTTTTTAACGAGCTCTCACCCACTCACTTTTAGAAATACACACCCGAACACACTCTCACTCACACTCACACACACACAGACAGAACATGAAAAGCGACACTGGAAAATGGAAAACTTTGATGGGCGAATCCTAGAGCCTGGCTAAGCCAACAAGCTGCCAAACATTCAAACTCCTGGCGCACCGCAGCAAACTTTTATTGAAATTGATTTCAGAATAATTGCGATTTGAATGTGCCTGGCAACGAAGGCGCCGGCAATCCGAGAGTTTTGCGCCGAGATGAAAGGCTTTCTGGATTTGTGTGTAACGCCCCCGGCTGGTGACCGCAGACCTAATAGATTTATGGCTAAATTGCTTCTATGAAAATGATAAAAAGATGGCGGAAGAGTCGGAAAAAATGTAGCTACTGATATTGTAATTAGGTGAGGGGCGAACTTCTGGCCTTAATTGCATCACCTGAAGCTAGGTTTTAAGTGGGTTTAGTTGAATTGGCATACAGTTATTAATAGTAATAATTACAAAAAAATGAAAATGCTAGGTAATATTTAAATATTACGTTTTTTGGTTAAGGCTTTTAACTCTTTTTTAGATTTAGAAGAATAACTATTATCTTGGATTTAGATTATTTATATTTATTTATAAGCTAAGTGAACTAAAGGTAAGCGAATGTTTTTATAAGTTTGTCTAGCGATACTTTTTCAAATCGATTTTTACTAAGTTTGGGGTTTAAAAATACATATTTATCATAATTTCAGCACTATTTAAAAAAATCTACCAAGCAAAGTGGCTTACACAAACCACATTACAAAAACTCACTAAAAAAATTAGGTCATGATTTTAGTACTATTTTTTGAAAAAACATTAGAAAGGTGTAGATACTTTCTCCCATATTTCCCATGCTTTTCTACACAGATACACAAAATATATCTATGCCATTTTGACAGCAGAGTCTCATCAAGAGTTTTCAAAAAGCTCTAAATCAACAGAACTTAATTAGCCATTTAGATGGGAAACAAAGCTAATTAATTTCAGACTGCTGGCAGTTTTAATAAATAACCCATAAAATGCTATGTGTCAGGGAACTGCTATCTGAAAAAGATATGATCGCTGAAAATTATTTTCAGCCTGACTCTGGTAAATAGCACTTATTTGGCCTCATTTTTGGCCTGGGGTTATTTAGTTTCTGTTATTCCATTTGTGTTGACCCCAACACACAGAAAAAACAGAACGAAAAGAGCTGAATTTACCTTAATGTACAATCTCGGAGAACAATGTGTGGTCATAATTTTTTAATGACCAGCCAACGGCTGTCCAGCTGCCCGCTGAATCCACTCAGCCACTCACCCACTCACCCACTCACCCACTGAACCCACCACCCACTCGACCCACTCAACCCGCTCCGCCCACCGCTCCCACGCCCCTCGCACCACATCAACGCATACGTCAGAGCGCCAGCCCCTGGCAAAAAGCTTTGCTCGGGAAATAGGTCAGCTTGATGTTGCTGCTGTTGCTGTTGGTGTTGCTGCTGCTGCTGATGATGTTGCTGCTGCTGCTGGTGGTGTTGCTGCTGCTGTGCTGTGGTGTTGGTCCTTCGTCCTGGTACAGCAAGTTAAAGCAATTTCTGATTGAATTTTGCATGGGAAATGCGAGAGCGAAAAGACTGAAGACTGAACGCTTTTCAGGGCCTAATGAAGCGATTAGCATGCATATGAAATGGCTTCGAGGTATACAGTATATATATGTGTAGAAGAACACATATAGACATTTATGTACAGTGTACACCTAACCTGATTAATCACAGTTATACACAACATTCGGTCGGTAGAAGGAGAAAAAATACGTATTATACAAAGAAACCGAATTTGTGAAATTGTGATTTTTGTGGCGTCTCTAATCAAATTTTGATGTGGTGGTGGGTCATTTTGGAGACCGGACAAGCAACAAGTTCAGCCAAGCCAGCCTACAGTGCACACTCTCTACAAGAGCCACCAGCGACATGAGCTCACCTCTTCGCGCCTCGGCTCGATGGATGGCCTGCTGCTGTTGCGATTGCTGCATGAGGGCATGATGACTGTGCGGCAGTTGCTGCTGCTGCTGCTGTTGCTGCTGCTGCATCTGCTGCTGTGGTGGCTGCTGCATCATCTGCTGCTGCTGTTGCTGCTGCGGCTGTTGGTGGTGCTCGCGTTCCCTCAACTGTGGTTGCTGCAACTGCGTCAGTGGTTGCTGCTGCTGCTGTTGTTGCTGCTGCGGCTGCGGCTGCTGCTGTTGGTGCAGTTGAATGGAGGCATTCACTGGCAGTGGTGACGAGGCCACATTGTTGGTCTGATGGTGGTGCAGATGGTGGTCCCTCTCCCTGTCCCTGTCCCGTTCTTCCGGCTGCGTGCTCGTCGGCGCCGGTGGTGCAAATGTGCTGGTGCTGGCTGCTAGGCGACCTGGCTGATGGTGGTGCGACTGCTGCTGCTGGCGGTGCAGCTGGTGGTCCCGATGCTCCATGTCCATCATCGAATCGGGCATCAAGCCGCGCTCGCAAAACGACGCCAGTGCGGCGGCTGTTTCTGGCTGCTCCGGGTCAATCTTGCTACTTGGTCTCAGTCCTGCATCATGCACTATCTTGGTTCTTTTCCCTTTTCTTCAAGACACGCACACACATATACACACTGTCACTACCACGGGTTCACACACACACACTAGGCTGAGCTAGTTTTCCCAGCTCTGTGTCCATTTCCCTTCGGTGGTTCGGGCCTCGGGTTCGGCCTCTCCTGGCGCCTGGCTCCTGGCTTTTCCGCTTTTCCTTTGCTGCTTTGCTGCCACTGCTGCTGATGTTACTGCTGCCTCGCTCGGAATCCAACTGAAAGTGCGCCAGCAGCCAGCATCCTTTTATATATCCCCAAAAGCAAAGCTCTCTCTAGCTCTCGACTTTGTTATCAGCCAGCCAAAAACCAGGATCGAAGAGCTTTCGCCGCTCTCCCAGCTGCAGGTTGCAGGTGCAGCATCGTTCAACTTTCACCTTTCCCAGCTTGCACTGACCTTGCGCACTCCCCGAAACATTGGTCCCGTTTGGAACTTCAGGAACGAAGCTTTCTCCGCTCGCCAAGCTTTTGCGTTGGTCCTGCCTGGGGAAATCCTTGCCAGGGGCAAATGCGCAACAGAGATGGAGAGATGCTTGTATTTAGAACCTCCTCATAGATAGAGAGAGTGTACTAAAACGGAAATTTCCCCTCCGCACATACCGAACTCGTGTGTGTACAGGTGACAAACCTAATTTATGACACCTTCGAGAAGAAACCACCTGCCTGCTCCACCTATCGCAGCAGCCATTCTAGTCAGACAAGAGTGCTCCCCGTGCTCTGTGTTTGTTAACTGGCATGGAATGATATGTATGAGCACCGGCCCCGGTGTTACATCCCCACAACCCCATCCCAACCATCCCCTGCACATCATCATCCTGGCCAGAAAAACACATCCTGACACTGCCTGCCACGCTTGACTGCGAATTTCTAATGAACCCACCTCCGATTCCGAAGCCAAAGCCTGTCGAACTGTCGAATATTTTAGGTCACCTGCAGCTCCTGAGCTTTGCTTTGAGCTGTCAATTATCGTTTACGCTTCATTAAGCGCCAAAGGGGGGTGCCGAGGGGCGGGTCTTGGCGGAAACTGCACTGGAAGAAAATGACAATCAAAATGTTTAACCATGATGCATTTCTCCGCTGAGATACATCACCCATCATAAAGCTTATAAGCATCTGATGATCACAGTCAGCATTTTGAACTGTCAGTCAATTTAGAAATCACCAGCCGTATTAAAAGAGTTATAAACGTTATTAGCAGAACCATTTTAATTAAGCAACCAATCTTAAATTCTTGAAATCAATCGCAATTAAAATATATTAAAATTTCATATAAGATTCCTTTAATAATACAAGAGTATTTTATGCGATATGGTATAGCTGGCGTAGCCTTATAAACCGGAACATAATGTATTAACTGGGTATTTATAACAGATTTATAAGCCCAGTACGCTTCTGAAACACCACTAATTATCTTTTTTTTCTTCCTGTGTACAATAAAAATATAATCGTGTACTCCCTGAAGTACAGGGGCATCCGATACACCGTGTCAACTGTCGCACAACAGTGCGTATGAGTGTCATTATGTTTGACATTCATTCACAGCACTCCACAAAGGAGCTCCACTCCACTCTGAAGCAGGGCAGTTAATTAATCTCGGGTTCTTGATTAATGTGCAGATTGATTTGGGTATTGCCACACATATTCCCTTTCGCAGACAAATGGGGCACTCGAGTCCTAGACTAGGTGCTTTATTATGGGGCAATCAGAGTGGCCCGGGACCCGGTGACTTGGCTTATGTGCCACACGTGCACGGATTTAGCACCAGATTCTAATCACGGAAAGGCAAGGGAATACCCAACATGTTCTGGCCATCCATTAAAGGTTAAATTTGGTGTTAGGAGCTATTAGCCATCGATTTTTAATGGCAAGAGAATTTGTGTTTCTAGCGAACTTTGTCATTTTCATGCTTGTATTTTTAGAAAAATACAAATTTGTTTGTTTATTAAAAGAAATATTAAATTGTATTATAAAAACTACCACTATTTTGGTGATTTCTTTCAAAACAAGCCCGAAACTAGTTTTCCATTCGATTTGCATTTTCTATTAAACAGAATGGCTTAATTTGGCAGGCAAGATAAAAGCAACTGCATGGAAAATTGAGCGGAAACAAAATTGAGGTTTCAAACAGAATTTCGCAGTAGAGGATTACCAAACCGCTGTCTCCAATTCAGAACCGAATACTTTGCTTTTCCGAAAGAGAATTTCATACCAGGGCCAACGACAGGAAAAGACGAGAAAAGACCTCTTAACCACAACCGGATGGCAGTTAAGTGAGTCCCGCCCCTGGCTTTTATTTTCCCATACGCAGTTTTTATAGACAAACATCAAAACGAAGGCGGACTATTTTTGCCTATCGAAAGACAAAGCTGCCAAAGCCATAAACACGATTTGCTTTTGCTAAAGAGGGGACCAAAGGATTGCCGAGCGGTTTTCCTGTCAGGATTGCGAAATGAGAACTGAAAACTGAGACTGAGAATGATGTCACACACATGGACTATCCCAAAAAAAACGAGACATGAGTTCACTAAGCAAGTAGATAGAAATGTGGGTGGAAGTCGGAACAGTTTTTCAACTATGTTGCAAAGCCAAATGGATTTTGACTTAATTTTTTCACATTTAAGCTCGCACTTTAATTAAAGCTGAAAGTTTGAAAGATTAAAACCAACTTTCTTGACTTGTTTTTAAAAATTACAGTTTCGGTTGTAAGAAGCTTTGAATTTATAAGTATAATAAAATTAGTAAATGTTTAAGAAACATTTTCTTTAAATCTAATTATGTTCCAAAGTGTAGGTAGAAATGTGGGTGGAAGTCAACTATGTTGTAACGCCAAAAAGATTTTGGCTTATTTTTTTCAGTTTTAAGCTCGCACTTTAATTATAACTGAAAGTTTGAAAGATTAAAATCAACCTAAAAGTAGTTAAACTAAAACCCTTTCGCTAAATAGAATTGAATCCCATGATTTTTTATTTTTATTTTAAGATCTTAAGATCCTCAAGAGATATTTATAGGTGTAGAAAATCCTTTGCCAGCCAGAAAATTCTAATTGAGATAAACAACTTTCCCTAGATATCGTTATATCCCTTAATATTTTTTCTATATTTTAAGACCTTAAGATCCTCAAGAGATATTTCTAGGTGTAGGAAATTTCGGTGCAGGTCGGGGACTTTGAACCGAAAGTCCTGCGGCGCTCCGTGTGCGAAATTAGCCAGGCAAATATGTCGCACTTAACTGCTAACGGAAGTGTAGCAGCACGTCCAAAAAGCAGAGGTCGGTGGGTTAGGTGGGTGGTTTGGTGGGTTGGTTTGGATGGGTGGTGCGATATACGAGATGCGAGCAGTCCAAACAATGGTCTGTGCAATTGTCGAGGCCCAAGGCGAGGGGTCAGGCGAAGGCGAGGAGATAACTGTCCCTATCTTTTCCAGTTCCCCTCTCAATTGTCGACGTTTGCGCTTTTCCGGCGGCGGGAAAACCGTAGAGGGAGGGGGGAAGTGGTGTGTGTACGAGGATGTGACACAAATGCGTCGAATTATTGTCATATGAGGTCACTGTCCCTGTCGCGCAGTGAAAGTTTTCCGAGACACTCGGGCAAACAAACACATTCAAGCCTTGTTTGTTTGCCCCGTTTGCCGCCTATTCACCACTCTCTTCTCTATTACGATTATAAGTACCAGAGTTAAGCAAAGTTTGCTCGAACATGGCCAGAAGTACTACTCGTACTGCGATGTAACTACCATGTATCTGGGGCTTGTTGCAAAATTCTAAAGGAGCCTGTTGAAAGGCAAGGGGATATGTAGGTTGTGCGTTTGTTTTTACCATCTCCAGCTCGAGTCCCTACTGGAAATCAATTCGGGGAGAATTACGGAAGCTGGGGGACCCGTATATTCGTTAGTATTATGGCTGAAGCCACTGCTCCTTTCGCACTCATAAAATATGAATAGACGGGGTCGGAATTTATTCGACGCGGCCACAGTGAGTCGAATGAAATATGCCAGTTCAGTTTATGGAACTGATTGGGCAACGAGCAGAGAGCCTTCCTCAACGTTTCTCGTTAAAGTTGCGGCACTGTGAAATGCCAACTTTTGCTGGAGAAACTTTAAATGGTGTGCAGATACTTTTGTATCTTCCGGTGTACAGTGAAAAATAAAGGAGTTTCGCGATGTTAATTAAAAATAGATGCATACTGAATTAATCTCTGTCACAGAACACGGAAAGCGGGTTTCAGGAAGCCATATTTTAACGATATGTCATCAGGGCATTTTTAAATGGAGTTCGTGAAAGGTCATCTTGATGTAATACAGATATCGTGGGGAAAATAGGTGTACTCATTAAGAAGTTTTGCATATTTAATTACCTTATGTTTATGTGAAATGTGTTATAGGATATTTAAATGTCACTCAAAGCGATTTGCATCCATCAATGTGACAATTTAAATAAAATAACTGCAACTACTTTAAGTGATGTCATTATTAAGGCGACAATAGAAATTATTTTACTTGGATTTATCTGCTGCTCTTTTATAATTAATAACTAACTAACTAACTGAATATTTAATTTTAAGTTTTATTTGTCTTTAAAATAGTGTATTATATTATTATTTTCTTCGGTCCAATTTTATATCTTTTAACATTTAAATCGTTTTGTTTTGATCCGTTACCCCTTTCTTGATTTTTTTCAGTGTTTGTGATTGTGATTGCGGTGCACTTTAAGCCATCCAATCAATGGCGTTCATTAGAAGGAATATTCATCTTTGGCATGCGACTTGCTAAGTAGACCGACTGTCAGGCAGGACTATCACCCAATCAATAATTCATAACCACACATTGACGACGCGTTCGCCGGGCAATAAAATGAAAAGCGAAATGAAAAACTGGCCAGGCAAATGCT